TGTCGGCGGTCGGCGGTCTGTCGGCGGTCGGCGGTCGGCAATCGGACGACGAACGACGACGGCGACGGCGGCGACGACGACGACCGACGACTCGACGACCGATGGCGGCCGCACGCGCGCCCTTCCCTTCGAGCGGACGCGGCGTAGCGGCGTAGCGCCGGGCGCCGCGGTCGTCGCGGCCGAGGGCGAGGCGCCTCCACCGCGGGGCAGGGGGTGGAGGGGGGCGGGGCCCTGAGGGAAGCAGCAACAATGCGGCAGGACGCAGGACCTGGAGGAGGAGGGAGGAGGAGGAGGAGGAGGAGGAGGAGGAGGAGGAGACAAGGACAGGTAGGAGGAGGAGGAGGAGGAGGAGGAGGAGGGGAAGGAGGAAGAAAAGGAGGAGAAGGACCAGGAGGAGGAGGATATCAGCTTACAGACTCTCCATATCTTCCTCTGCCGCCGCCTCCGCCTCCGCCACCGCTTCCTCATTTCCTGTATTCCTCCTCCTCCTCATCCCTCTCCTCCCTCCTCCCTCCTCCTCTCCTCCTTTCTCCTCCTCCTCCTCCTCCCTCCTCCTCTCCTCCTCCTCCTCCTCCTCCTCCTCGTTCCTCCTCCTGATAGGGACGCGGCGGGTGGACCAATGCCGATATTTTCACGTGCCACCGTGCGCCGTATGGGACAATCCCAGCCCCAGAATTCGCTGACGCTGGCAATGAGATGGGGCCTTCTTTATGTAAGGATGTGCGGGTCCTGAGGTGCTAAAGATTGACCTGAACGAGAGCTGAACTCACCGAAATCTGGGAGTAGGTGGATAGGCCCCATCAGATCACCACGCAGCTCGCCAAGCTCACCCGCATCGAGCTAGACACGCAACCGTGCCTCACCACGAATTGCGAAACTAGAAGAGCGGAGCAGTCGTTCACAACCACTTGCTGTCCTCCTCCTCCTCCTCCTCCTCCTCCTCCTCCTCCTCATTCTCATCCTCCTCCTCCCACGGCGCGCATGACTACTTCGTGCTATATGAACGGCGCAGACAGCACTCAACAAGAGAGGCTAATTCTAATACTGGCCGCTAGCCTCTCGCACACCAACCAGGGAGGAGGAGAAGGAGGCCGGGGAGGAGGAGGAGGAGGGGGTAGGAGGAGGAGGAGGAGGAGGAGGAGGAGGAGGAGGAGGAGGAGGAGGAGGAGGAGGAGAATAGGGGAATGTGGTGAGGGGGGGAAGGAGGAGGGGATGCTGAGCAGCGCGTGCCGCGCGTTGGCCTGCTTGCTACTTAAGCAAGTGCTTGGCCCCAGCGGCGATCGCGGCATCGGCACAGTTGGCGGCGCTGGCACTGGCGCCGCCGCCACTGCTACTGCTGCCGCTGCCACTGCCAGCGGTACGCTGGGCATTTGGAGCGGCATTCTCCAGGGCTTCGATCTCTTGAAGGCGCGCCTTGACCGCCATCGCCGTCGGGGCCGCATCAGCAACTGCCGCGGCATCATCGACGGCGTTCCCACGCCGTTTCTTGGGGACGAGATACTTCACAGCCGTGGGCTCAGTGATCTCCATCTTCAGGACGAGCACAGGGATGGTCAGCTTGATGTCCAGCACGCGGGCGGGCTGCCGCTGATCGGCTGAGATTTCAACCCCGTCGCTGAGGTCGACGATCGATGTCCCACGGATCTCAGTGATGCTGTTGAGATCGATCGACATCGTGACCTCGCGAGTCTCCTGCGAAAGCTGCGCATCGGTTGTCCTAGTAGTGGATCCCACTAGCCACGCTGGGCAAGGACATTCACCAGTCAGCTGTGAGTGCGAGCCAGGCACAATGAACAGGTCCACACCCCATACACTAGTCACCTGAGATAGATCGGGCTCGACGTCTCGTCGTCGTCGTGTGACGGTGCCAGAGTACGTATCATCGGTGGAGGGCAGTGGAGGGCTGGGCGGCTAGGCACGAAGCGCATCGTCGTCCTCCCGCCGCCGCTGCCTCCTCATCATCCGCCTCGTTCTCCTCATCCTCTGTTGATCCTCCTCCTCCCGCCTCCTCCTCCTCCATCATCTTCCTCCTCCTTGCCTCGTCCTTCTCCCTCATCGTCCCTCCTCCTGGCGTGACCTTGAAGTGTTTGGACGTGGCCTTCGGGGGAATCGAAGTCACCTGGCCTGCGAAGCCCAACTCCATCTCTTCGGCCCCGGGGAGCACGTACAAGCGGTGGGGCTTCTCCGAAACGTCTGTGGCGATGAGCTCCTTGCAAGAGGTCCCGCAGGTCTCCCAGATCTTGGCCTCCACCAGGGTCTGTATGCGGATGAACGACACCGCGTTCCCACCTTGGAGGTCCCAGATGTCGTCGAAGCGCATCAGCTTCAGCTTGGCGATGTCAGCCTTATTACGCTCATCCGCCAGAACTAACTGGTTGGCCGCCGCAGCCGCTGCAGCTACGGGATCCTGCGAGGTCGCGGCAGCTGGAGTTGGAGCTTCAGCAGGAGCAGCGTTATCAGCGCTCCCGTCCTCGCCATCGCCATCACCACCAGGTCGCAAGCTAGCGAGCATCTCGCAAAGCTCCTTGATCGGCTTCGTGGCCCCCATTCCAGCGGTCGCCCCAGTGTAGCCGCTCAAGGCAACGATGCACTTCTCCCACATGGTGGCCCATTGCTCCAGCGAGTCACGGCACGCGACGTCTACTAGCACGAGCTCTTCCTCCACCCTCTGGTTGCGAAAGAGCTGCGTTACAATTTCCATACTCACTCTCGTCAGCGGCTCAAACACTGTCAGCGTAATCACCGCAGTACCCGCAGCAGTCGAGCACAAGTTGATCAGAAGATTGATGACGTACTTGGCGCGGGCGCCCATCAATGCCTCGACAATTTCGGGCGCGGCGAACACATCGAGCACGCAAGCAGGAAGCGAGCCACTTGCCGACACCCAGTCGCATACTAACCCCAAGAAGTGCATCCATTCGAAATGGAATAGCTGGTTCACGCAGTTGATGATGACCGTCAGGGCACTGTTGAGGCCGATAGTGGAGTCATCCCCCGCCTTCTGCTTGAGGGCTTCGAAGGTGGCAGCCTGCAAGGCAATGTAATCCTGGTTCATAGCTAATGGAGTCGACGCACCGTAACCTGTGAAGAAATCAACCATGCCTGCGGAAGCGCCGGGGTCCGACAAGAACTCTGTGATTTTCTCCTCCGTCGCCGTCGCGTTCTCATCGACCGTCGAGGAGACCAATACTCTGCGCAGGATTTCGTCGGCGGGGTCGCCCGCGGTCACTGCAGGCGCGCCCGATGAGGACCCGGAGAGCTCGATGTGCACAACGTGCGATTGAATGATCATGTCACGGAGCACCTTCCTGAGCTTCGACCAGGCGTCGTAGGTGCGGCTGTTCACGGTGACTCTGCCAGCGAAACAGAAGTGGAGCCCGATGCCAATCACCTTGCACGCAATCGTGTGCCGCACGGCTGCGGGCACGGCAGAGAACGTCCCGTCATGCCTCGCAACGTCGAAGCCGTATTTGATGCACGCCATCAAATCATCTATCCAACGGGCTTTCCTCGTCTGCCCCTTGTTGTCAGTAACGTCGAGACGGAGAACTTCAGCGGCGGGGGGCGGCGGGTTTGGATCGGGCCCCCTCCTCGGCTTCTTCGACTTCCGATCGAGCTGGAGAACTTTCCCAGTGGTATCCTTGTAGACCTTACTGTCTGTCATGGCCACCATGATCCGCCGCATCAAATCGGTCTTCGACTTCTCGGATTTGCAGAAGAACCAGGGCTGGTTCTTGGCATTCCTGATCCCCCCCGTTTCCAGCAAGGGGACACAGAATTTGAAGCCCTCCATCATGAGCGCGCCCATAAGCGATTCGACGTCGTCATTCAACAACGTGAACGAGTCGTACGTTGACAGCGACGTCGTAAGCAGCACAGCCCACGAATGCAGCATCGGCACGATGATGTCAGTACTCAAGGTCGGCTCCAACCAGTCGAGGTGCTCGTCGCAGAGGGTCATGAACGGGTCCTGACTGAAAACAAAAACTCATCTACCCTCTATCTTCTTATCTCCTCATCCTCGTCCTCCTCCACCTGCGCCTCCTCATCCCCTCCGCCGCTGCCCTATCCTCATCTTGGAATCCCCGCCCTTCCTCGACAGGAGGGGGGCGAGTGAGGAGGGCCCATGCCGGGGAGCGACGGGGGGAGGAGGAGATAGGGAGGATGAGGAGGAGGAGATAGGGAGGAGGAGGAGGAGGAGGAGGAGGAGAGGAGAGAGGACGAGAGGAGGAAGCAAGGAGACGAAGTGAGGAGGAGGATGAGGAGGATAAGCAGAGGGGAAGGAAGAGGAGGAGTCGGAGAGGAGGAAGGAGGAGGACGGAGGACGACAGGAGGGGAAGGGTCGGCTGTCCATCACATTCTGCTTCGTCATGTGGTGGACCAGCGCCTTCGTGATGTCGTAGAACCGCCATGATGAAAGCTTCCCATCGTAATTGTTTTTGATGAAGTCCCAATAGAGCTGCTCATATGATTTCGTCTTGCTGTCGTCGCCCTCACTCTTCTTCCCAGCTCCCATCCTCGCGGTGATGCCCATCTTCTTTTTGTATGCTGCCCAAGCGCTCTCCATTTCGTCGATCTCTCTCAAGAGCTCAAGGAATGAATACGTTGCTCCGTCATGAAAAAGGTTATGATAATCTCTCAACCATTTCAGGCAGTTGATTGGGATCTTCCAACCCAGCAGAATACAGTCAGGCAGGCCTCTCTGATATGCGTCTGCGATGAACGCGTTGTTGAACGTGCCTGGGGGGCCGTCAGAGTTCCTCGTGATCATGCACTGCTCGACTGCGTCGTAAAACGCTCTGCAGCGGGTGCCCCATGTGATGGCGTAGAGGGGGAACGAGTCGTTCTCGCTGTACACCAACCATGGCTCGCCTCCGACCCCTCTGTTGACGCCCTTATCCATGAAGCTTATCATGTACTTGCGCTGGATTGCCTGGGGGGGCCCCCAACCAACATGAGTTCCATTCTTGTCTTGCACGTCGCCGCGCTCCGACCCGCCCTGTAACGCTGCAACCCAGTGGCGCAGCGCAAAGGAATGGTCGGTGCGGGGCGACGCGCTTGTCAACATTGGGAGTCATGAGTAGAGGGGGCGCCTGGTGGCGCCGCGCATTGAGCGGGTGAGTCACAATGGTTGGCTGCCACTTGCCCGACGAGTCCCTGTAGAACCAGGGCACTGTTCTTTTCCCAGCGCCGTCGCAGAAGCACCGCATCATGCCCTGGAGGCGCATCGAGCCGCACAGCTTGCCCAGCCGCTCTTCCAGGGAGAGCGACTCGTCGTAGAGCACTTGCATTGCCTGCTCGGCTGGCGTCAAAGCGGAGGTGGCGCCAGGCGCGGCAACGGCATGAGGGAGATCCGAATGTTGGCCAGCAGGTTGAGCGGGCTGACCGCCGGCGGTCTCGGTGTTCGGAAGTACCTGCTTGCTCTGAGGGGGCTGCGCGCCTGGCGGCGGAGCGGGCGCGGCAGGGCATGCACCACCATCGCTCGGCTTCCAGACGGGTGCGTATGCCGCGGACGCAGGCGCCATCGGCATGCTGCTCAGCGTAGAGGCGCAGAGAGCAAGCTTAGCTGGAGAAGTCGGGGTGCGTTCGTCTTGATATGACGCGAATGGCTGCGACAATGCGACAGAGAAGGGAGAGGCCAGAGGACGGTTGGAGATGGCGGAGTGGAGGAGGGTGAGGGAATGGAAGTGGATGAGAAGGGTGACAGCGTGAGGTGGGATGGTGAGGGAGGGAGATGGAGTGCGTAGCGGCTCGACGGGACAAGCGTCGTAGTGAAGGAACGGAATGGGGTCGGGGTAAGTAAGAGGATGGGCAGGAGGGGAGGGTGACGTGTGAGAGATAAGACGCGATGATCTCTGCCCTCTCACCGCTGCCGCCAGGCCAGCAATGTTGAGTCGAGGGCAAGCTGGTCAAGCTGGGCGCCCCCGCAATGCAGCAGCCAGGAGCCAGACCCAACCCAACGGGAAGAGGCAGGCGTCGTCGGGGAGCGCCGTGTCTGACACACAGCGCACACAACAAAGTAACGTTCACAAGCATAAGCAATGCGCAATGCAATGTTGTCATGGTGCTGTGATCATCGTTCCTCGTGCCCTTGAGTTGCTTCCCCCTCTCTTCCCTGCCAATCCTACGCTCAGCCAACTCCCTTATGCAAAGCGCCTGCTAGCACGAGCGAACCGTCGCAGCGCACACACGCTTGATTCCGACGGCGTGAGATTCACACACGCAAGGATGTACATGAGGGTGCCACCTACAACTGCAACGTGCATAGTGTTGCCAGCCTGTGCGATGACTGCAGCTCTGCCCCGCCTGGGCCGATCATCGTCAAACGAGCACAGGTTGCCATCGCGAGCTACGCACGCGCACTTCCACACAGGAAAACCTTGCGTGTATAATAATTCACCTGGCGTGAACCAGCGACCCGGCTGGCCGCATGCCCATATGATTCCTGAATTACGGATCAATGTATGTAACGATCCATCGGGCCGACTCAGCATCTGTCGGTCCACAAGTGGGTTCTGGTTGAGCTGATATGCGCGGCCAGGCCAGTTACGTTCATAGTAATCAAGCCATTCGAGCTCAACGGTGGTCAGCGCCTCCCTGAAGTCGACATTCTCAGGCTCGTCAGTTGAAACGGATGGGAGAGCCGACGCAGCCCGCCTCGCCAGGACGTATTTCCTGGACAGGCCCCATTCGAGTTCAGCCTGAAGCCCTGGCACGCATGAGACAGCAAACGATCTGTAAGAGAGCTTGCATGGTCTGTACAACCTCTGCATGAAGCGCACCAGACTTTCAGACGGCGCAATGGTCTTAGTCTTGTGCAGCAGCAGAATGTATCTGCGGACCCTGCGGGTTGGAAATCCGAAGTCGAAGGAGTCAACCACTGCATCATGAAATACGAAGTAGAGGTCTCCTAAGTGGTCAACCAGGATCGAAAACAAGAATTCCTCCACATTCTCTTGGACTACGATTGGTTCCTGGAGAAGACGGCGAAGTGCACACCATGCCAGGATATACACAATATTAACACCTGATTCGCCTTTTTGGTCCCCGATCACAGCAAAGTCTGTACACGACGTGCCAGCAACGTGGCAGTCGGCCGTCGTGAGGCAGCAAACCTTGCGGTGCGTGGAACACCACCCAGACCGACGCACAGATTTTCCACTCAAGATTGCAGGGGTGAGAAACTGCATGATCATCGACGGCGCTGTGTTCTTCTTGGCAAGCGCGACCACGGAACTGAGGGCAGGGACGTAGAAGGATGCGATGTCTCCGAAATGGCAAGCATCGCTTCGCAACCCTAGTGGGTGATGTTGTAACTCAGCAAGACTGGTAGGCAACCACTCGATTGCATGCAGCAAGCGGGGGCTCGAAAAAGAATCAGCAGCTGCCCCGCACCGACGACCGAGGGCAGCATGCAATTGGCATAGGGCTGTCTCGGGCGCACCAATCCCACTGAAGCTGGTGGAGAGAGTGAACACAGAGAGTTTCTCCACCAGCTTGTCCAGCGAAATCCTAGGAATGAAACAACAGCCACTGCCGATGTCGCCGCCGCCGTCGTCAATCTGGGGGATTCGTATCCGACGTCGACGTCGCCCCCCCCAACGCTAAAGAAGTTAGCTAGACAGGTCCAGCCGTGGCGACGAACATATAGGCACATCCAGCCTTGGCGACGATGCATCGTATACCAACATCTCGTATACCAACTTCTCCACTCGAGGACGAGCGGCGAGTGAAAGGCGACGACGGCGGCGACGGTGACGGCGGCGACGACGGCACCGACTGCGACGAAACGACAACTCGGCTCGACGACCCGGCGATGGCGACGATGCGACAACGACATTGACGGCATGCGGTCCCTGTATCCAGCGCTGCGTCCAGCCAGTCGTCCGGCCAGGACGCGGCGTGGCACCGGTTATGTACGGCGCGGTCATCACCGCGAGGTTCGCCAGCTTGGCATTGCTCTTGCACGCGATGACGAAGAGCGTCGATGGGGATGTCAGGGTCAGGGGCAGTGTCGAGGGAAGACGACGGCGGATCGGCACGGATTGTAGCGACATCCACAGGATGACTTGGCTGGTGCGCTTCAACGGTGGGTTCGGGCGTGGGTGATGGTGTAGACTTTGTCAGTGTTGGCGGATTGTGAGGCAAGACTGTGAGCGCTCCAGAATCAGGTCCCATGAAAGCACCGTGTATGTAGGATGTAGTAACCGTACGATATCGTGAGATCGACGAACGTGGCAGCACAACATATTTAGGTGTTTCCCATTGCTGCACTTCCCGCACATTCTCGAACTCAAACATGTGCAGTGGCCCAGCGTCTTCGGCTAGCATTGGCGCAGTGTGTGCCTCATCCAGTAGGTGCCAATGGTAGAAGTCAGCAACGTTCGCCTCAGTGATAGATCGCACAAGCCCAGTGAACACCGCGCGCGCCCTCAAGACCGCAGCGACGTAACCAGCGTGTGCTTGCGCATGCTCACACACGGTGTATATGGAAATGATCTCACCCGCGATCACACTGGCACTAGGCAGCCCACCCCAAGGACGTATGAGCCAAATATCATCGACCATCTCTGTCTTGCACCGCTCAATCCAGTGCGTGGTGTAGGACTCGGGGAACAGCATGCTATGGAATCTGACATGTTCGGGACAGTAGCTCGCCCGTGGCGAATCAAAGCCTGAGTCGATGTGTGCACGCTCATCCAGGATGCCCGGAAATGCCAGGTGACGAGGTAATGGCAGCCCGTGCTGATCAGGAGGCGGCGGCGTCGGTCGCCTCAGTAAACGGCGTTTACTTGGTCGCGCAAAAGAACTAGTGGGTGGTGGTGGTGATCCAGCATCGCGTGGCAATATCCCTTGAGGCATATGTAAAACGCGCGCACCGACGTGGATGTCTCGAGCCAACAGGCAAGCTTAGGCGGAACGTTCACGAAATGCGTGAGCAGTGTGCCATCTGGACCACAGGAGTGCATAGGTGAGGCGAGTCGTGAATAAGGAACCCAAGGTCTCCCGCGACTGACAGGGAAAGGCGGTAGTCACTACCTGATCAACAAGGACCTAGCGTGAGTCTGACAATAGGTGACAGTGGCCCTCGACATGTGATTGAGGCCCCAAAAGCACGCTGGGAGAGAGAAACCGTTTCCGCAAATTGATGCGTTGGATGGTTGGCCATACCTTCAGGATTCCAAGGACCACCCTCACTGGGTATGTTTAGATCGTGTTAGGCCCGCCAACTCTGGTTTATCATCTTTGCCATATTCATCATCATCCTTCTCCTCATGCAGCCTGCGTTCACAGCTGAGAAGTTGTTAGGGTGACTTACAGCACGTCCTGCTTTCTGCGTTTAGCAGCATGCTATGTTTGCACGTTATGTTTAGAAGTCGATAGGGTTACGTGTATAATGTTCTGTGTGTTCTTTTTTTGTGAAACATTGCACGCCGCGCGACGTACGGACACACATTCTTACACATGTGTAGAGATGTCGCGCACCGATAACTTATGATACGTCATCATCACAAAGGTCCTGTGAACATGAATGTAGAGGATCTCATGTCGCTAGGCTCGCTGTGGGGCAATCAGCTGGCCAGTCGAATGAGGAAGAGAACGGCTTTCAAGTGCAACCGGTGCTCGGGTAAAAAAATGAATGTAGATTATCACATCCCTACGCGAGTGTGGCACATCCCACGCATGTAGGGAGCTACAGTCAAACGCACGTGTAGGGAGTAGCCATCCTACATGCGCGCGGAGAGCAACCTCCCTGTAGTCATGTTAGGAGTCGACACCCACGCCGACACGTAGGGAATCACCTCCCCACACGCATGTGGTACGGTGCCTCTCCTCGCGAGCGTAGGGAGGCATCTCCCCACAGGCGTGTAGGGGGTCGCCTCCCCACGCGAGCGTGGCGGATCACCTCCCCACGAACGCGTGGGGAGCCACCTGCATACAGGTGCGCGGGGAACTACATCCCTACATGCGTGTAGGGAGCCACTTCCCCACGCTGGCGTGGGGAGCCACCTCCCCACATACACGTGGGGAGGCGTCTCCCTACACGTGTGTAGGGAGCTGCATCCCCACACAAGCGTGGGGGGTCACATCCCCACCCACGCACCTCCCCACACGCAGGTAGGGAGACACCTCCCTACAGAGGCGTGGGGAGCCACCTCCCCACAGGTGCGTGGGGATGCACCTCCCCACACGCATGTAGGGAGACGCTTCCCCACGCGCATGTAGGGAGTCACCTCCCCACATACACGTGGGGAGGCGTCTCCCTACACGTGTGTAGGGAGCTGCATCCCCACACAAGCGTGGGGAGTCACATCCCCACCCACGCACCTCCCCACACGCAGGTAGGGAGACACCTCCCTACAGAGGCGTGGGGAGCCACCTCCCCACAGGTGCGTGGGGATGCACCTCCCCACGCGCATGTAGGGAGACGCTTCCCCA